ATGACCAATTCTTGACCCCGAGGGTGCTCAGGCATTGGAACAGGCTGCCCAGGGCAGGGCTGGAGTCACCGTCCCTGCAAGTGTTCACAGCCCGTGGAGCCGAGGCCTCAGTGCCAGGGGTTAGTGGTGGCCTTGGCAGGGCTGGGAATGGTTGGGCTGGATGAGCTTAAAGGGCTTTTCCAACCCAGCTGGTTCTGTGATTCTATGTTAGATGTCCCATTTGCTGGCACAGCAGACCTTGCAATGTAAGGATGTGGGGTTTGGATATTCAGTTGCACCTACTGCTTGTAGTCCTATCTGGGGGCTTTCTAAGCCAGACTTGGACTTAATGTGGAAGTGCCACCTTTACTTCAGACCAGCCACTTCACAGCTACAAATTTAGTTCAGAATTAACTTTATCCTGTTCTGATAAACTTCTTTAGGCTTCAAAGTGCTGCTTGAAAACCTCCTGTCCCACCTCCAAGTGCTGCATATTGATATGTTTCCTTAAACAGGCACAAGTTTGGGGTTAAATATAGCCTCTGAAATGATTTGTTGTTGGGTTTTTAAGCAGACTCTGTTTTAAAAGAAACCCTTTTGTGGTGCCTTTTGGGTTTTAATGTATGTTTTAAGCCTCCCTGTGCTGCCTGGCTTATCATCATGAACCAGGCAGCCTGAAACTCTGCAGCCCTGTCCCTCAGCTTTGAGGCTCCTATGCTACGTGTCCTGCCCAGTGTAAACCATCAGAGCCTTGTATTTGTATCAGAATACCCTGATTTCAGCAGCTGGAACCTGTAATAAGCTTGTCAGAGACTTCAGATACAGAAAAACTTAATGTCATGATTTCAAAAGCAGATATTGTTATTTTTAGTGTCTTTATTCAGAGGTAGAATCAAGTTGTGGAACAAGAAATGTTCGTTCCTGCAGCTCTGTGCCTGGTATTGTCTTCATGCTGTAGAAATCTGGCCTCATCTGACAGAAGATATTCCAGTAATCTGGAAAACTGGCCAGAAGACATTAGTCTGGGTGATGTTTCTTTCCTCTGGAGTTCATCAAAGTACTAGCTCCTGGGTTAGACCTTGGACCATGCAATCCCCAGAAGGTCACTGCAGGTCTCCTGCTGCTGGTGCTCGGTCCGGTGAGGCTTAAACATCCAAAGCTGCAGAGCAACCCCATCGAGCCCAAATCTCCTGGTAGGGATGGGTTCAGCTCCTGGATCTGCAGTGGGGAGCCTGAACTGGAGGCTTTTGCGGACCACACGATGCCAGTTGCTGAGCCAGGGCCCATCACCTTTCCTAACACCTTTTGCCTCTCAGTCTGCGTCTCTGCTCATAGGAGCCTCTTGCAGCTGCTCACTAAAATGGGCTTTATTGCTCTTCTGCAGCACAGCTTGCAGAGCAGCTGTAGTGTCCAAGAAGCTTCTATTTCCTGCTATGAAATTCCAGGAATGTTTGGTTCTGTTTCCCTGAAACATGGGATTTCGTCCTAGTAAGGACAAACGATGCTGCAGATAGAAAGCCTCCTTTTTTGGGGTAACTCTTAAGTGGGGCTAGCCCCACTAGCCCAGGAAGTATTTAATGCTGTATGAATAAATAAGCAGTGTCAGAAAGTTGATGGAACCTGCTCCCTTCTCTGCTGAACAGCCTTTTAAGGTAAGAAATTGCTGTTAAGGCTGTAGGAAAATCCAATAAAAGAGAAAACAAGTGCACTTGGACTGTTAAGTGGGGATTTCTTTTAAATCTTGGTGTGTTTTATGGATCCCCATATTGGAAAAACAAAAAAGATTTTGAATAAGAACACAACTGAAACCTGAGTTTTCCTCTGCTGCTTTCTTTTCCTTAGCTACCTTATTAATTTCATCCTGGATGCCACGCTGGGGATGCTGCTGATCTGGCTTGGTGTGAAAGTTGTCTCCTGGATCGTGCAGCATAAGAAGTACACGTACTTGGTCTTCGGAGAATATGGTAGGTGTTATAACCATAACTGCTCCCAGCTGTGAACAGGGAGAAGAAAATGGGAGGAATCACAGTTTGGGGATAAAACACATGAGCAGCCTGGTCTGTTATCCCTTCTTCAGGTTGCTCATGGAGCGTGGTAGTGATTAGTGTGGTCTTAAATGCTGGGACATCACTAGGTCGTAGGTTCTTCTGTCTGCTGCCTTGCCAAATACACTTGAGCATTGCAGGTTGGTGATGAAAGGCAGAACATATCCTTTGGTGGATAATATAGCCCAAGACATGCATATGATAAATTAAGTCATTTGGGGGTGGTGATGGTGACTAGTGAGGTGTTCTCGGGGTTTTATCGTAGACTCTCAGCTCAAAACATGGAGGAGTTCTTGAATTTGCCTTGAGCTGTGGTAGGCATCAACAGTAGGACTGAACCTGTCCCCAAACCTGAGTTCTCAAATGACTTGTGGGGCTGGGGGAGTGCGGGTTGCCAGCTGATTTTTTTAATTAATAATAATAATA